GACGTCCCCCCAGGGACTGACTGCAGACCGCTCAGCACCGGGGGACTGGGCTGTGTACACTGGCGCAGAGTGGCACCTTCTGGAAAATAATATTTTTGATATTCCTGTCTGATTTTTAACTTGCCATAGATTTTTAAAATGAGATTTTTTTCCTCTCATACAATGTAAAAAATATATTTACTAAATGATGTATAATAAATGGCAGAGTCATGCTTAAGACCACTCTCCACACGTTTGGACAAGCCTTACACATGAAGGAACCGGCAGAGGAACCCAGGTGTGCGGGACCCGGGGCTGAGATCTCCAAGCCTGCTCGGATCGGGACTGGGCCTCTTCCACCCAGATCCCCTGTCTTCCAGGAGCTAGGCGTTATACCCACCAACTGCCCCCGGCGCCGTGTTATCCCATCAACGGCCAAGATCCAGGGACTATAAAACCCAGGTCCCGGAAGCGCGTGGCCGCATTTGAGGCTGCACAACCTCTTATTGTCTAGTCCTCACTCTTGGAGAACCCAACAGACTACTGAGTGTATCCTGCCCGCATAGTAGAGTGTGGTAAGCTCCCCGTGGCATATTCGATATGCCAAAATCCAGTAACAATGATGGGTCTCATTCCCCTGACCCTGAAGGAGCCTCCAAGTGGCACTTGCTAAAATCTCAGGGCTAGGACGAATGAAGACGTTACTTGGACCTGCTTGAGGAAATTGATGAACAACAGGATGACAGTGATACAGTGATAGTATAATAACTATCTCATCAATAAATCTATTAAATTCTTAAGAGAAAACATGAAACTCTTTTTATAATATTATTTGAGATACTCCTTCCTAGATACGGCACAAAAAAACAAATGCTATGAAGGAAAGTGACAATAGTGATATCTACCTAAAAAAAACTAGATTAAATGATAATTATTCAATAGTACAGGTTATTTACACTATATAATTTCTACATATTTATAACTAAAAGATAACCAGTATAAATAGTTGAACAGTGATTCATTACAGAAATCAGATGGCACAAAATTCAAAAGTATGAATAATTACAATGCCACAGTCAACAAAAGTTGACTTTTGAGGATACTTTTTGATACTTTTTGGTAGCTACAAGTAGAATTGCAAGTTGTTACATTATTTGGAGGGCAATTGGTATAAAAAATGCAGTGTGGGTCTGGAGCGGTAGTAGAGTGGGGAGGGCGTTTGCCTTGCATGTGGCCGACCCGGGTTCAGTTCCTGGCATCCCATATGGTCCCCTGAGCTCCGCCAGGAATAATTCCTGAGTGCAGAGCCAGGAGTAACCCCTGTGCATTGCCGGGTGTGACCCCCCAAAAAAGCAAAACAATGCTCACCTTTTGATTATGCACCTGCCCTTTCAGGAATATAAATTATAGAAACAATATGTGTAGAATTACATTTGGACCAGGATGGTTGTCACAGTTTCATTCTGAATAGTGAAAAACTGAAAATACCCTGAATCCCTTTTTTTTTTTGAGGGACCTATAAGGGGCAGGGGAGCTACAGAGGGTGAGGATTGGGGAATCCAATTCAGGATTTTACACATACAAGGCATGTGCTCGACCACTTGAGAGAACTCTTCTGGACAACAGCCTGGATTTCCATAAGCAGGGAACGAAGTACACAAATTAGGACACACACGTATGTCTAAATGACATTTTGTAATTACTGAAAAGACATAGAAAAGAAGTTCCTGTGCGAATAAAAAATATTCCTATGACTTGAACTTGGGTACTTTCATTAATAATATTTAGCAGTTGGGAAAGAGAAGGGACCATTAAGTCAATAATGGCTGGAGGATCGCTCGGGAGGGAGACGTGTGCTGAAAGTAGACGAAGAACCAAACATGACGGCCTCTCAGTATCTGAATTACAAACCATAATGCCCCAAAGCAGAGAGAAGGTAAGAGGGAAATTGCCTGCCAGGGAAGGGGCGGGAGAGATACCGGAGACGTTGGTGGTGGAAAATTGATGAACAACAGTGGAGGTCTGGAGAAGGGATGGGGGTTCGATCATTGTAGAACTGAAACTCAATCTGAAAGCTTTGTAGCTGCATCTCATGGTGATTTGATAACAAATTTAAAAATAAAATAAATCATAAAGATAAATAATACTTAGCACATTAAATAGTTTTGCTCAGAGTGAGCAACTTGCAGAAACCGACATGGATTCTGCTTCCCTCTTTTCTTCTTTTTTAAATGTAGCCGCTATTTATTCAGCCATTTATTAAGCTGATTGAGCTGGACATGAACTCCACATTACTTTTATTGTTTAATTTTTTTAATTGGATATCTGTGAGATAGACCGTTACAGAGCTGTTCGTAATTGGGTTTCAGTCATACAATGATCCAGAACCCATCCCTCCACCAGGGCGCATTTCCCACCACCAATGTCCTCCTTTTCCCTACCACAATCCCCAGCACCCCAACCCCAAGCCCCAGCCTCTCTCTGTGGGAAGCACTTTCCTTCTTGCTCTCTCTCTCCTTTTCCTTTTGTGCACCATGGTTTGCAGTACAGGTGCTAAGAGGTCATGGTGTTTGTTCAGGGCATTCATTATTTTATTGGGACAGTAAGGCTGGAGTAGCTTTTCAATTTGGTGGCAGCTTTGAGGTGTGGATGTGACTGCCGAGGCTTCTGGAAGTACAGGGAGATGGTGAGGGGGGGTAGCCCAACCCAATTCTGAGAAAGCCTGGAGATTTCAGTCACGAAACCCGCATGCCAAAGTTTTCAGCAGATTCTGTCTTGGTGAGGTCCGTCCTGAGACGGAGTCAGGCGGGGGGTGTGGTGGCAATTTTGGATTGAGGAAGCAAGTGGCTGCTGGGGGCTCTGCTCACCAGGCCAACCCGCCCCCCTCCGACTTACCCCGTTCTGTTCAGTCGAGCACAGGTCCAAGATTAACTGTGGCCTTTGATCTCTTTTGAGATTCATCTATGGGTCTCTGAAATCAGGCCAATGAATGAACTTGTGTAGCTGAGCCGGAGGTGGTTTGTGGGGTGGCTCCCACATACCTAAGTTTTGGTTGTTTAATTTCTTGGTAAATTTGGCCCCAACTTGTTGGGGTCTGGCCAAAGGCACAGCGGCAATTTTGGGGTGTCAGGAAGCCTGAAGCACTATCAGGCTGCTGCTGCACTCGCCCTGCAGGTACAGGTTGACCTGTTGGCGGCACCATTAACCCCTCTGCTTCCATTTCTGTTTTAAGAAAAAGATATACATAAAACGTAGTGAAAACTGTTATGGGTGTTATTCCTGGGGGTTCAACTCAGGAGAACTTCTGCCTTTCTGGTCATTTGGAGGGACTCCCTAGCAGTGCTCAGGGAGGGAGGGATGAGAGGTGGGTGGCAGCGGAGGAATGTGGTGCCAGAGATTGAACTCAGGACCCTGAATGCAAAGCTTGTGCTCCAGGCCGGGGGCTCCAGGTTCCTCCCAGGCATGCCTGGGTGACTCTGAACCAGCAGGCGCCCTGGGCAGAGAGGCAGGGAGGGTTGGGGGCCCAGGAGCTTAGGGAGAGCTCCTGCCTGAAGTGCCGATTGACCCTGGGTGTGCATGCCTCTTCCCCTCTGAGGGCCGGGGTTCAAAGACGGCCGTCTGCTGGGGTCCACCACTCAATGACTGCATGCACAATAAGGAGTCTAAGGGTTCTGCAGTTTACCTCGACTCACTGGGACATGTAGGAGCAGGCAATTCACAACAGAAATAAGGCCTCATTTTTCATTCAGAATTAAGGTTTTGCCAGTGACAGGATTTAGATGAAGAGGTAGAGTTTAGACTTTCAATTGCATGGTGAGCGCTTTCAAGTGACTAATTCTCTTTGTCTTTCTGGATGCAGCCTGCGATGGCTAATTATGGATCGTCACATGATTTCTTAATGAGGTTTTATGCATAAGATCCTGCTGTTATTTTTCACCATATCTTGCTCCCACAACCTACAATCACTAAGCCAAGCTCATTTTTATCTCCTAACACGTTTTTGAGAAGACACCATGGATGAATTCATCCGTTGAGTCATTGTTCTGAGTTTATTATCGGAGTATGACCGGCCCTTCGGCACGCGCTTGCTGACAGGGACGAAGTGCCCTAAACCCAAGCCCTCACTGAGGCTGTCTGCTCGCTGCGTCTGGGGAGTTTAGGATGAAAGTGAAACCAGGAGTACCTTTTCCCTCGGCGCCTGCATTCCACGGCAGCCTTGCAGGTGGCATCTTGGTGACCCTGTTTGCTCTCTTCTCCTTCCAGCTTTGCACTGGATGTGATGACTCTGGGTCTGTGACCCTCTCCAGGAGGATCTTGGCTGCCTGCTGCTTTCCGCAAAGGTCTTTCTCCCCCTGTTCAGACTTTAAAGGGGGGAAACATAGACACTTCTTGAAGTGCTGTTACAGCTTGTCACTGATGTGCTCCTTTCATTCACCAGGACAAGGCAGCGCGCGGGGCAGAAAAGGTCCCTGGGAGGGGCACCTGGCCCCCTGCACTTGTTAGCCAGTGCTCAGCAGCCCATCCCGCCCGGTGTGTGCCGGAAGCCGTGGCCTCTGACGTGGGCTCACAGGCCTCTGCTCCAGGCACGGGAGCAGTGCTGAGCGGCTCGGAGCCACGATCTGACGCGATCATGGTGAGAACACGCAGAGCGGGCAGCAGAGGACCGGGAGGGTGCGGAGCGGAGGCTGCCACCACGGACAGTGAGAGAGGAGGAAGCCTGAGCCAACAGCAGTGGCACAGAAGAGAGAGCAGGGCTGCTGGCTCCTGCGCTGTGCAGGGGGAGTCCAGAGCAGAAGGGAGAAGGCAGTGAGGCTTCAGGGTTACGGGCGGCATCTGCGGGGGAGTGCCTGGGACAGTGACCTCAGGGCGTGTCTGTGGGACTGCAGGGCAGCGCCTACGGGAGAGTATCTGCAGGGCAGCATCTGCAGGACAGTGTCTAGGGGATAGTGCCTAGGGACAGTACTTCCGGGACAGTGTCTGCAGGACATTGCCATGGGTCAGTGTCTGTGAACACTGTCCGGCTACAGCCGCTCCTCAGGACCCCAGAAGTCCCAAGTACCCTCCCAGTGGGCGTCACTGATAACAGGTCAGCGCCCGGTCCTTAGGGTTCCGGAAACAGACCGTTCTGCCAGCAAATAGCTCCTGCCCTGCCCTGCCCTGCCGTGTGCGGGTGCCCCTTCCAGAGCTACCCCAGCAGGCCATCCTGCCTCAGGGGCCATGAGTAACATTTCCTTCCCTCCCCGGCTGACTCACTGCCCTGAGTGAGTTCCTGTGTGCCAGAGTTGGGCCTTGGCAGAGCACTCGGTGTACACGTCTGCCGGCGTCCCGGTGAGAAGAGAGCTGAGGGTGTGAAGGGCTCTGTGGACACTGGTGGTGTGAAAGGCTGCAGGAAGAAAGGGGCCAGCACTGAAGTCCCTGTGGAGACCAGAGGACAGACCAGGGCTGAAGAAAATGGTCTGACAAGTGGGAAGTGAGGGCGAGGTGGGGATGCTACGATGAGAGCAAGCCGGCCTAACCGTGGCAGAAGGCCAGTTTGGATGCAGCAAAGCTGCCATTTTTGTAGATCGAAAAATGAGAACTCAGCCGTTTCATTCAACACAAGCCAAGGACCAAAGAGTCCGAACATTGGTCTAGGGTCCGCCTCAGCTCCCAAATAACAGGGAGGCACCGGGGTGGTTGGCTGCAACCTGTTGGTAAAGGCTGCTCCAGTCATGGTGCTGCTGTCACAGCATGTGGGAGCAGCCCCTAGATTTCACTCGGAGCACTTTCTGATGAGCACAAACCTTCCTGATCAAACAGCAAGTAAGAAAAGTCAGAACATACAATGATTTATTCGGGACGGGGCCATGGCTCAGAGGGATGGAGCACAGGCTTAGCCCGCAGGAGACCGAGTTCATCTCGGCATCCTGTGATGCCCACGAACTGCAGGATATATCCCTGAGCATCGAGTCTGGAGCAGCCCCCAGCAATGACAGATATGGTCCAAAACAAAACAAAATATAAATACAAAAATATTTTGGGTGATGAAATTAATTTTTCTTTTTGGTCTCTACTAATAGTACATATTGTATTTTAAGGTAAAACATAAACCATTTTGAAAACGTTGAAAGAAAACAATTTGGTGAATTTTGGAGGTCGCTGGTGAGCCCCTCCTCTTGGTCTTACTGGACACCCCTGTGCGCCAGGCACTGTGCCAGGCAGGGGACACAGGCTGTGGTTGTGGGAGGAGGAGACTGAGTAGGACAGCTCTTGAGTCACGGGCACTGCTATAAAGTTATAGGCGGAACATGTCACAGAGGCAAAGGCTCCGGCAGGTGTGTGGGGATCTTCCTGGGGCTTGACAAGGAAGCTGAGGCGGAAGGGAAAGGGGAGGAGGATGCTAAACTCACAGGTGCCTTCTAGATTCCTGCCCACATGCCAGCAGGACCCCAGAGACACCAGGGAACAAGCAGTCTTGAATATGCAGCCATCAGCATAGCCAATTTCAGAGCATTTGGATGCTCCTTCCAAAGAAATCTTACAGCCTTTAATATCGACTCTCTGTCCCTCCATGTCCCTAGCCCTTAGCTGTGCTTATTCTGAACCCTTCACATAAATGCCTTCTTTGACGATGGACTTCTTTCACTTAGCATGTGTTTAAGGTTCATATATGTTGTTGTATCTTTTAGCTAATTCTCCTTAATGACTGAACGACATTCCATTATATGGGGACACCATACCTAGTAGTAGAATTACCAAATCATACAATAACTGTTTGATCGCTCTCGAAGCCAGACGATTTACCAAAGTGGACACAGCATTTTGCATGTCCACCATTCTCCACATCCCCGCCCAGTCTTGTCATCTCACTTTTGGATTCCAGCCAACCTAGCTGGTTTTCAGTAGTATCTACTGTGGTTTTGACTTGCATTTTCTCAATGATTATTCATGCTGAGCACTCTTCATGCAATCAGCCTGTATCTTCCCAGGCGAACTGTCTATTTTGATCTTTTGCCCAACTTTTAATGGCAGAGAATCTCCCTCAAATTCCCCAGCAAAGTTACGAGGGAACTCACTGATCTGGGGGAGCAGCACTGAATAGTGATTTGTTTATGCAGGTGAGATACTTGTCTGTTAAGCAGGAAGGGGCCCCAGTCTGTCTAACTGAGGGACAAAGATGCTCTGAGGACGCTGGAAACGAGGGACTTCTTCCCACAGTCCTGGGTGAGCTCTGGAGACCCTGGAGATTCCCGCCAGAACCCGATGACATATCAGACCTCACAGGGCTCGGTGGGCCCCATGCAGAACGGGTCTCCCCTGGCCTGCGGCTCTCCTCCTCGGGCAGTGCTGGGTGCAGAGTGGCTGGTCCCCTCTCACCTGCACTGTGTGGGGTCTTGTCTGCTGCCTGGCTGTGCCCTGCTCCTCATGATGCGGGAAATCTTCTCCAGCAGCAGGCGGTTGTCCCTGTCGATGACCGAGAGCTGCTGCTCCTCCAGCTGTGGGCAGACACGGGTGGCAGGAGACGTCCCCTCTCCAGAGGATTCCTGCCATCCCAGATTCCCTCCCGCCACCTCGGGCTTCATTTGCTTCCTCAGATCCCAGTCTGCGCCTGTGTGGGGCATCTCAGGGGCCAGAAACACACACTGGCTAGTTCCTGTCTGACCCGGAGCAATGCAGCAAATCCCAGCCCCGAGTGGAAGTGGCCCGAATGAAGCCACACCAGGTGCACTGAGGTTGCCACAGCCACTGGCCGCTGGCGCGGATGCTGAGGAAGGGTCTTACATGTGAGAGTGATTCTGAGATAGAGCAGGGATCCCCTTAGAGGGTGGGCTGGGCTTTGTGGACACTTGGCTTTCGTACTGTTTGCTTTGTCTCACCGTGTCTCACTCTTGCCACGCTGGGGTGGGGTTGCTGATGTGCTTGCTGGTCCTCTGGGCTATGCCGGGGAGACGAGGAGCACCTGGGGGTCGAGCCAGGCCTCCCGCATGCCAGGCACTCTTCTGACTTTTATTCTGACCCCTCAGGCCCTTTCGGAACCAGCAAGGCACAGCACAGATACATCATCACAGCACACACAGATCACGCTGGCAGCACAGATCATGCCAGCACCCTCAGATCCTGCCAGTAGCACGCACAGATCATCACAGCACACACAGCTCATGCCAGCAGCACCGATCACGAGAGTACACACAAACCATCCAAGCATGCACAGATCATGCAGGCACACTCAGATCATGCCAGCAGCACAGATCACGAGACTATAGACAGATCACTAGAGCACACACAGATCATGCAGTGACCACAGATCACAGCAGCATAGACTGATCATGACATCATAGACAGGTCATGCCAGCACATGAGAAATGCACTGTATCTGGCCTCTGGGGACATTCTTGTCAGTGCGATTCTGGTATTGTTACTCTCAAGAATGGCACTTGCCTTGTGTGTGCTGCCTGACCCAGGTTCAATCCCTGGCATCTCAGATGGTTCCCCAAGCACTGCCAGGAGCAATTCCTGAGTGCAGAGCCAGGAGTAACCCCTGAGCATCACCTAGTATAACCCCAAAACCGAAAAAACGAAATAAGAGTGGTTTGCTCCTCAAGAAGTAAATATTCTGGACTGGTCGCATCCAGCCTGATTCAGACCACTCGTGGCCTAAAGCTGTAGTCCACATAGTGCAGAGACCCTCGTTCCCCCAGAAAGAGAAGCCAAAGATCTTCCTCTTTTCTCCAGAATTGGAATCCAAAGGGGAGATTTGAGCTGCCGTTACCCAGCTGTTACCCAGTCACCCAGTTACCCACCACTGGGGTGAGGAGGATGACTGACCTAGGTGACTGCCGACCCCAGAAGTGAGCCCACGTCTTCCCAGTGTTTTGAGCTAGCATTTCCCACATAGTTCTGATGGAGTCAGGGGGGGAACTGAGAGTTACCTTCAGCTTCTTGAGTTTCAGGTGCAGGTGGCTGAGGGTCAGCGGGGCACTTGTGTCCACAAGCGGCTGGGCCTCTTGGACCTAAGGCACAAAGCAGGCCGAGTGGCCCCAGGACACCGTTAGAGCCTCCCTCAGCTCCACCCTGGCTGTCCATTTCATCAATGTAGAACCGTTTCTTCTCAGTCAGCTATGGCAGAAAGTGCCAGATGATTCAAGATGTGCTGCAGACCCCAAATGCGGTTTTCAGGAGAGAACGTTTGTGTACGGCACGATAATTCTGTTAGGATGAATGTGAGCCGACGCTTCCACTCAGCTCTTTGTTGCGAAGACCTCTCTGGGCAGTGGTCACATCCCTGCACCCATATCATTCTGGTCACTGAGTATTTCAGCAGGAGTGAAACATTGGTCATTTGTAGAATGAGCTCTGCGGGGCTGGAGCGATAGCACAGCGGGTAGGGCGTTTGCCTTGCACGTGGCCAACCCGGGTTCGATTCCCAGCATCCCATATGGTCCCCTGAGCACCACCAGGGGTAATTCCTGAGCGCAGAGCCAAGAGGGACCCCTGTGCATTGCCGGTGTGACCCAAAAAGCAAAAAAAAAAAAAGAATGAGCTCTGAAGAGGTTCCCATTTGAAACTGTACCACCAAGGGACGAAATTCATATGTAAAATTTTATCTGTGTGTTTACAAATATTTTTGCCTATTTTAAAATAATACATATTTTCTTGTTCTGGGGCCACACTCAGCTGCACTCTGCACTCACTCCTGGTGGGGACAGGGGGACTGTGTGTGGACCCCACCCAGGTTGGCCAAGGGCTTCCCGCCATTGAGTATGATGCTAGCTGTGAGTTTGCGGTAAAAGGCTTTCACTACATTGAGAAAAGTTCCTTCTGTCCTCATTTTGTTACCTTTTTATCATAAATGGGTGTTGGATCTTATTGAGTGCTTTCTCTGTTTCTATTTATGCACTCATGATTTTTATGTTATTTTAACAGTTTTTTTTAGCTTCTTAAAAAATTATTTTCGGCACTGTGTGGCTCACAAAATCGTTAATGGCAGGTTTCATGCATAGAGCGCTCTGGTGCCACCCCCTCCGCCGGTGTCTGCCTCCCTCCACATGTCCCCACGCCACACCCTCTGCCACCACGTGCTTCCCGTGGCAAGCTGCCCACTAAACACCAGTTTTCAGGTTCTGTTGCCTTTGGACATCGTTTCTTTACCCTGCTATGATCTTTATATTCCACATAGACGAAAGGTCATTCTGTGCCTGCCCGCTCCTTCTGGCTAACTTAACTCACCACGATACCGATCAGACCCACCCACCTACCAGCAAATTGAATCATTTAATCTTTTCTTAAAGCGGAAGAGTATTCCACTGTATATATCTATCATACTTTATCCAATCATCTGTTCTTGGACTCTTGGGTTGTTTCCAGATTTTGGCTGTTAGAAATGGTGCTACAATGAACGTAGGAGTACAAATGTCTTTTTTGAGTAGTTTCTGGACCCTTGGGGTAGAAGCCAAGAAGTGGAATTGCTGGTCCTGTTGCTCAAGTCCTCGTTTTTTGAGAAGTGTCCATGTTGTTTTCCAGAAAGGCTGGACCAATCAGCATCCCACCAGCAGGGAACGAGGGTCCCTTACTCCCCACATCCACAACCACTCTGATTGATTCTGTTCTTTGTGATGTGTGTGGTCTCTCTGGTGGGAGGTTTTAGTTCATTGCTGCTTTGGTTTGCGTTTTCCTAACAACAAGTGATGCAGAGCAGCTTTCATATCCGTTTTGACCATCTGCATGTTTTAAAGGGAGTTTCTGTTCAACTTCCCCTCTCCCCGCCATTTTTGTAGGGTTTTTCTCTCATAAAGTTCTACTGTAACCCTTTATCAATTGAGCGTTGGGCAATATTCTTTCCCAGATTATGAGGTGTCAAGTTTCCTTCCTGCTCCCTACCCTGCCACCTTATCAACAATTATATGATTTTTATCTTTACTTGTACTAATGAGATATTAATTAAATTAGGAATACGATAGCACAGAGGGTAGGGCGTTTGCCTTGCATGCAGCCGACCGAGCCGACTGGAGTTCAATTCCTCCACCCCTCTTGGAGAGCCCGGCAGGCTACCGAGAGTATCTCGCCCTCACGGCAAAGCCTGGCAAGCTACCCGTGACATATTAGATATGCCAAACACAGTAACAACAAAGTCTCACAATGGAGATGTTACTGGGCCCGCTCAAGCAAATATTAAACCATCCTTGCATCCCTGGGGTAAATCCCACTTGACTGTGGTGTTTGATCTTTTAATATATTATTGGATGAAGTTTGTAAAGATTTTGTTGTGGGTACTTGCATCTATGTTCATCAGGATTACTAATCTGTAAATTTAGTCTTCAGTGATTTAGAGAACTAAATTTAATTTTAGTTTTCCGCATTTGGTATGAGATAACTTTGGCCTCATATAAACTGTCCAGGAGGATTAAATTTTTTTTGATTTTCTGTAAGAACCTGGGAAGGATAGAAAAGTCTTCTCTGACAGTCAGGAATAACTCACTTGTGAACTGTCTATATCCAGGATTTTGTTTTGAGGGAGTCTTTTGATACTGCTTTGATTTATACGATAGTAATTGATCTGCTTTTCTGCTGACTCAGGCTTAGGAACTCAAATCCAAAAAAACGTATCCATTTCTTCATGGTTCTCGAATTTTGTGGCATAATATTTTTCATAATAATCTTGGATATCTTTTGTATTCCTGTGTATCTGTTGTTACTTCTCCCCTTGAATTTATGATACGACTTACTAGCTTTTCTCTTTGTGAGTCTAAGAGTTTGATGATGTTGTTTATTTTTTCCAATAAAACCCTACCTATTTCTAGTTTTATTATTCTTTTCAAATGTTTTTGGTTTATATTTAGTTGATTTTTGTTCTGATATTTTCTAGTTTATTTCTTATAAGGGAAACTACCTGTTCTTTTCTTAGTACCTTAAGATGGTATTTAGATTATTTATTTGGGTCTTTTTCTTGTTTTCTGATGAATGCTTGCTTTGCTATGAACTTCTTTTTTAGAATAGTTTTTGCTGTGTTCCATAAGATCTGAAACCCTGTATTGTCATTCTCATTTGTTTTCCAGGCAAATTTTTATTTCTTCTCTAGTTTCCTATAGGGCTGGAGTAATAGCACAGCGGGTAGAGCGTTTGTCTTGCACGCGGCTGACCCGGGTTCGATTCCTTCATCCCTCTGGGAGAGCCCGGCAAGGTACTGAGAGTATCCCGCCTGTGTGGCAGAGCCTGGCAAGCTCCCTGTGGCCTATTTTATATGCCAGAAACAGTAACAAGTCTCACAATGGAGACGTTACCGGTGCCTGCTCGAGCAAATCCATACACAACGGGAGGACAGTGCTACAGTTTCCTCTTTGGCCCACTGTGAAGTAACTGGTTTAGTTTCCAAGTGTTTGCGTTTTTCTTAGCTTTTTGTAGTTAATTTTCACTTTTCAAAGTTGTGGTCTGGGGAGACACTGAATAGGATTACTTACCTGTGGATTCTCCGAAGTCTGGTTACGTGTCCCAATACATGGTCTACTTTGGAGAATGTCTCATGTGCACCTATATGCCAACATTTTAAAAGGTGAAAAGCTAAATGCTCGAGGGCTCTATAAATTTCTTCTACGTAATAAAAAAGAATCTCCTCATAGTCATGATACTTGCTTAAGTATCAATCACTCTGGGATCCATGAGCTAAACCCTTAATGTAAGATCTCTGGGAAGCCACTCGATCTGGGCTGAAGTGATAACGGTACAGGCAAAGTGTCTCACAGCCTAGGCCGAGCAGCAGAACCATGTGTGCAGGACCCGGAGATGGACAAAGGCAGATGGAGACAGGGTATTTAGTGTGCTCAGGATGAGGCCCTGGCTCCAAAGCCCCTGGGGAGCCCTGAGGAGCAGAAGCATTGGGGTGCCAGAGACCCTCGTTCCTGTGTAGGGAAGACGTGTCTGGGCACCCAAAAGAGAGTAAGGAGTTAGCTTCTTGGAGGTGACTCTTCTTTGTGGAGAGCAAGAGAAGCTGGGGCAACCCAATGGCCCCAGACATGGTACCTGGTGACTAGAACAGAGAGAAAGGTGATGAACAGACCTGGGGGTGGCCATTGGTTTGTGTTTGTAATATTTAGTGTACAGGGACCTCACGAACTATCTAGAAATACTTTAGTTCAGGTTGAACAAGTTTGCCTTATTAACACACTAGGTTGAAGGATCTGGTCTTCTGAATACACTCTCTTATTTAACGCTCTTGTCTGTTGCCCAGGCTAAAAGTAGAGGGAAGAAGTTCTTCCTTACAGCGAAATAAGTTGGTAAACATAGAAGCGGTGAAAATATTGAAAAATGTTACTCTCTCCGTCAGAGGATAAGAAACCCACACCATGACTGGATAACACAACCGTTTCTCTTGGAAGCAGCTTCCGCAGGCACTTCCTGTTTTGTGACCCCTGTACCGCATCTGTATTCATAGCCATACTTGTATATGGAGAGAAGGTTCAATCAGGATTTGATTTTTTAACTCGTTTCAGTGGGCTTGAGAAGGAAGAGCTGCACTCAAGCTACTAGGCAAAACGCGTGCGGAACAGAATCTGCAGCACTGTGGCACCGTCCTCCCATTGTTCATCGATTTGCTCAAGCGGGTCCAGTAGCGTCTCTGTTTTGAGACTTCTTGTTACTGTGTTTGGCAAATCGAATACGCCATGGGGAGCTTGCCAGGCTTTGCCGTGCAGGCGAGATACTTTCGGTAGCTTGCCGGGCTCTCCGAGAGGGGCAGAGGAATCGAACCTGGCCTGGCCGGGCTGGCTGCGCTCAAGGCAAACACCCTACCGCTGTGCTATCTCTCCAGCCCGTGGAACAGAATCAGTAATTAAAAATGATCAAGTCTAAACAGCGCCGTCTTTGAAGACCGGCGGCAGCCACATCTGCTTATCCTGAGCCAAGAAATCCAGGACCCATAAACGCTGCTGTGAGTACAGTGAGACCACCCTTCTGGGTGGCTGCAGGTCACACAGCTCAGGGTCCCAGCTCTGCTCTCTCCAGTCTTGGTGCTGCTCTT